CATATAAGATTCTCTTGTCAAGAATCTTTCATTGACAAAACAAATATTCAAGAGTTAGTGCGGATTCTTATCAAGATAAACACTTCACTCAACTGGTCTTTAGATAATCTTTGTCCTTACCAAGACATCACAACTTACCAATTTCAAATGTACAAGAGTAGAAAACATTTTACTCTATATTTGATAAGTGTTATAAACCTTTCTTAAGATTATGTCACTCAAGGCTCAATCTTTGAGTATGACTCAAAGACTCGATTTGGAATGAAGTATGACTCATCTTATTGATTTAACCATTTCAATAATTCATGATTCCTCTTCTTAGCCATATGAATGCACTAAGTGTTATAAACCTTTCTTAAGATTTAACCATTTCAATAATTCATGATTCCTTTTCTTACTCCATCAAGTTGCTTCTCAGCTAGTTCTCACGACGTGATAAGGTGTCTGTCACACCATGGCGATTGAAGACTCAGGATTATTTTGTCCTTATCTGCTCATGACGTGGCCATGAGATTGTCACGTCGTGAATAGCAATTGGCCTATTGATCGTTGACTTTTGTTGATAGTTTACCGTTGAGCTTTTGACCAGTTTGACTATGAGTAAAACTAGAAGGATTGGAGTTGTTGATTCAAATTATATCATGTTTTGGTGCTAGTAGGTTCTCGGGAGCAATCAATGAAAATAGGGAGCATCTCACAGTGTTTTTCTGTTCTTCGTTTCAGGTGCGTCTTACTCACTATACCCGTGGGTCGAAGGCACCAATGTCAGCTTACTAGATTTGGTTATGTATCATTATGTATAGGATGTTGCTATGTTGTACTGATCTGCTAGTCATATATATATATATATATATATATATATATATATATATATCCTTGTGCGCTAAGATGTAGGAGTAGTAGTACGTTGGTTACAGTACCAATAGACTAGTTATCGTCTAGTGGGATGCCTTAGGGGATGTATGTGGTCACGTAGGATAGGATAAGAACTCTTGATCTAGGATTTCTTGCATGTTACTTGTTTGGTTGTGGATATATAGTAGGATCATTGGTTTGAATGTCTATCTCACCTCTAGTTACATATGGCTATGCATTCCTTGGAGATTTACTGGTAGCGGAGCAGTTTGCAGTAGTAAACTGTTCGATAGGTAGATTGATAGTTGCCTGTACTTATGTGCATACTTGATTTTGTGTTTGTTTATATGTTGACATATCGTGATGGGTAAGGCTGAGGAGGTCCTGATGTGTGTTGTAGGCCAATATATCATGTGTGTGTCGGCTATAGACCGTAGGCACAGAGGCTCGGGAGGAGCGGTTGGGTTGTATTGGCAGGCCAACATACCAGGGGAAATATAGTCCGATGACTATGGGAAAAATATGCATGCTTGTATATGTTTTGTGGTGTGAGGTATTTTGTGGAAACTCACTAAGCTCATGCTTACCTAGTTATTAATGTTTTTAGGTGCCATCAGTGATTGTGGGAAGGCTAAAGCATGATTACACACACACATTAGCAACATTGAGGATTCTGCTTTTATTATAGTACTCTGATTTTCAAGAAATTTGATTTGGGATAAATGGTTTTCTTAACATAAATTCTATAATTGTGAAGTTTTACCTTAATTAAAATGCAACTTTTTTGTTTTTAAAATGGGACGTTACATATATGATCGATCAATATAAGATCTCTATGAAGAACATGCACCATAGATTTATGTTCATTGGTATGGTCCATATTGCCCAAGTATAGTTGGCCACATGGTTATTAGGAAATTTCATTTGGGGTCACTATGAATCTATCCATGGTTAATTATAGTCGTTCCTTTTGATGATGCCAGATGTTGCATCTGATATTCCTACCGTCTTGATAAGCAGGAAGAGGAGATCAGTCTGTTCGACGTATCTGGCTACAACAGAAACCATTAGATCGAACCCAGTTTGTTACCCAAAATATCTGTAACGATTAAGTTAGTGTTTTTATCTTATGGATGAAAATAAAACAATGACTAAAGGTGCAAGGATATAAAAGCAACGTGCCTTATCTGTTGACCAAAAATCCTTTTTTATAATGGGAATTGCTAAATCATGTTTAACATGTATGTTGGTTTAGGAGTAGGATCCTTTAAGAAAGATGAAGGATCCATTGAGTGGTTAATTTGACTTTAAGAGTCATTAAGCTCTTAATAGGCTAAGATAAGTATTAAGATACTTGAATGTATGTATGATTAGGCTCATGAGCAAAGAAGTTGGATCAAGATGCATCAATTGAGGAAATGAGCCAAAATGAGACAGTTAGTCCTCACTAACTAATAAAGTGAGTTATTACTCTCTCTCTCTCTCTAGATTATGTATGTATGTATGTATGTATGTATGTGTATATATATATATATACACTAAGTAAATGTCCCCAAGCAAAGAGAGGAAGCATATGTGTATAAGAACATGTATCAGAGCATGTATACATATTAAGAGTATATAAGAAGTATACATAAGATACATGTAGCAGAGCATGTATGTATACATGAATATATGGGTTTAATGATAAGGGTATTTGCTAATCCCCAAGAGAAAAGGAAATAATTAGAAGATGGTTATATGCAATATAATCATAAGAGTATATATGTCTAGATATCATTAGTATTGTGTAAAATGATATATGATACTAGACATATATATTGATTAAGTACTTAATGCATTAAGTACTAGATGAGTAATAGAAGATGTATTAATAAGATAAAGATATAAATTGTCCAAGGGACACTTGTTATGTGATGAGCCACATAACAAAGATAGAGATATAGAGTAAGGTTCCTACAGGGACAAAAGATAGAAGATTCCTTCGGGAATAAGAGTATGGTCTCTATAGGACACAAGTAAGATTCCTTCAGGATTAATAGTATGGTTCCCATAGGAACAGAAGCATGATTCCTATGGGAAGAAGGGTAAGGTTTCTTCGGGGACAAGAGTAAGGTTCCTTCGTGGATAAGAGTAAGGTTCCTTCGGGGATAAGAGAAAGGTTCCTACCAGTACAAAGAGTAAGAATCCTTCGGGAATAGATTAGAAGTTCTTACTGGAACAAAGAGTATGATTCATGTGGGAATAAGATTATGTCCCTACAAGGAAAGATATAGATGGTTCCCCCTAGGAATGTAAATATATGATTCGTATGAGAATCTAGATTGAGTATCGTTAGGATAAATAGAGAAAGGTTCCTTGTAGGGAACAAGATAAGAGACTTCTTTGTAAGAACTAAGATATAACCCATGAGGGGTTAAGAGTATGGAATCCGTGAGGGATTGAAGAGTAAGAAGAAAGAATGAGGATCCATGAGGGATCATAAGAGAGAGGAGTAATATATGGTGAGTATGCCTAATAATGAATGTGGGATATGACTCCCTTAGAGTGGATTAAAAGATGTGACTTTTGGGTCTAGATAAGTAAAAATTGTTGAGGCATTAGAGATGAGTATAAAGAAGAGAAGAGATAGAGACAAATATAGAGTTAGACTATGTGTAGAGTAAAACAAGAGCATATTAAGAGGCTGAGAGTAGAGTAAGAGACAGAGTAAAGAAAAGATAGAGTTAGAGACAAAGATAGTGTACAAGAAGAGCATGTTAAAAGGAATCTATGAAAGAAAGAGTTAGATATTACAGTAAGAGTAAAGAGAATAAAGAAGAAATACAAGAAAAGATAGGAAGAATAACTCAGCAGACAAATTGTGTATGATAATGTAGAGTTTCATTTTTTGCAGGTTCATGTTGTAGAAGCAATTTTTGTTGGATTAGTGTCTAAGCCCGTAACCACGTTTGGTAAGTACTTGATCCGGTTGTGCATGGTCATTTTGGGTTGCCTTCACCAAAGCAACTTGACTGGAGAAATAATAAAGAAAGAGGTTATTATTATTTATTAACATATAATAAGAATAATATATTAAAAAACAAATCGTATTTGTTTAATTAATATTGATCAATAATTAATTAAGAATTAATTTTGTGATTAAAAGTAATTAATTAAACTAGAGGGGCTGAATTGTAATTATGCGATAGTTGCAAATTAAGGAAAATGATGCCTTATGGATAGGGTGGACGAATTCAAGGGGATAAGGCACTAGAATTCGTCCAAGGATAAGGCTTCTAGACTTATCTTATGGTTTGCTTAGTGGGCAAGCAACCAGATAAGGATAAGGACTGAAACCCTAATCTCTACCCTATTTAAGGACCCCTTGGCTAAGGAAAATCGGCCACTTGATCCCTAGTAGACCTAGAGCCAATTTTTGCCTCTCCCCTCTCTCTCTCTCTTGCCTCTCCATTTACTTTTGGTGTTTGTGAGCCATTAGACGTACTACATTTGTGGTACTTGCTTTCAAAGACAAGAAGATTGAAGATTTGAGTTGTTCACTACTAGAAAAAAGGCCTTTTACGACGCTCATTGCGCGTCGTAAAACGCTCAGACGACGCGCAAATGCGTGTCAAGGAAGGCCCTGTCATAAAGAGAGATGACGCGCTTTTGCGCGTCGTCTATAGACGACGCGCATTTACGACGCGCATTTACGACGCACGGTTATGACACGCATTGCGTATCAAGGAAGGCCCTGTCATAAAGAAAGACGACACGCATTTGCGTGTCGTAACCTTACGACACGCGTGTTTATGACACGCAATGCGTATCAAGGAAGCACCAGTCAAGAAAGGCCATGTCATAAATGAAGATGACACACATTTTTGCGTATCGTAATTTTAATTTAAAAAAAATATATTTATATATTTATTAATTTATAAATTAAATTTGCATTTAATGTCTCATAATAGAAATAAAATACCATATACAAAAAATACAATCCATTGCATAATATAAAATAAAATACCATATACAAAAAATACAATCCATTGCATTTAATTTGTATGTATAACAAAGACACATGTGTTAAACTTGTTACCATTAACATCTAATCGTATGGACTTGAGTGTTAAACTTGTTACCATTAATATCTGATTCATAAGTCATTTCAACAAGATTGTTACCTGCATAAATGAAAACAAACAGGAACATTAACAACCTAGCTATGAACAATATTGTTACCTGCATAAGTTACTAAGAGACTTATATACCCAGCTGGTTTGTAATATGGCACTAAGAAGCCCAAGAATTGTTTGTGTTTTTCCTGCTCCTGGTGGATCCTACATAGACAAAAGGTAAGAATTAACATTTTCAAAGTAAATATAAGAAAAGGGCATTATAGTAATTACCTCCATGCAATACTCAATGGACAGCTGGCTTTACTTGTAATAATAATTCATCAATTTTGCCACTCTTCTTCAAGGAGAGCAAAGCCTCCCACTGATCAAAAGCATACCTTTTTGCAAAAGGAAGAATTAAAAATAATTATACCATGTAGATATATAAATCAAGAATGAAGGGGAATATGAATATCCTTAGAACTTTAATTTTACTCATTAAAGTAAAGAATCAAATAGATCATACAGTGGTTTATCCTTAGAAATTCCTTTGACACCATTCTCTGGAACTTGATCCTATAACAAACACATAATGTCATTGAGAAGTGACAAGATATGATAATAGAAAAAATAAATAGATAACAAGCTGATGCAGATGGGTCGTCCATTGTAAAAGCAACAATACCTTGGGCAACATCTTAGTTTAATTTAACACCATGGACTTAAAAATAAAAATAGGAATTAAATGTACCTTATGTGCTGCTCAACTGACTTGGGTGGCAGCTTCACTTATGGCATAAACTGTATTACTAAGAAGACTAGTAGTTCCTTGTGTCATGCATGTGATGAGTCCTACTGGACTAGTCCACAAAGAAACAGAATATCAATAGCTGATCTCAGGTAAGTTACCAAATTTTGAGCTGAAGTGTTAAATTAGGTGGAAAAATGGAAATGAAAGGTCAACAACAGTATATAAATTAAGTGGAAAATGGAAATGAATTGAAATTTTTTGTTTTTTATTTTTACTTTTGTTGTTGTTGTTGTCGTCGTCATCATTATCATCGATGTCCATAATGCCTAAATCGTCCTCGTTTGTTTTATTGCCATTTGCAGGACTTCCTGGTTGAGCGAGTGCAGAAACTCCAAAGCACATGAAGTGTGAAAAAAAAGGAACTATGTGAAGGAAATAAATCGATTTAGAAACTTTCATCTAAAATAAACCAAAAAAAATGAAGAATTATATTAATAACCTCATCAAGAAGGAGTGGGATAAATATGGTGAGCATTTTGGCATATTATTCAGAGCAGTGGAAGTATCTACATTGTTTACATTTTGATTTGAACCAGTTGAACCTTCGAGCAAAATAGTTCGATTTCTTGATGCTTTTGTAATTGCTCTAAGCTCATTAGCAAATTCACGTGCCTAAAAAAAAGAATTTTAACTTTTTTAATATTTATTTATATTTGTACGTATGAATTATACTCATTAGTTGAACATACCTCATGCCTTAAAAGTAGATTAAGAGAGCTGCAATAAGCTTTCCTCAAAGGACCTAAACAACTTTTGTCAAGACTCTGCATATAATAAATAAACATAATTTTAACACAAGTTCATTTTTTATATAAAATATTTCTTTAAAGTTTTGTCAAGACTCTGCATTTTTTTATGTAAAATATTGCTACCAATTGTAATCGTGTTTTCATTGCTAGAAAAGTCATGGTTGACTTCTGCACTTACAGTTGTGTTGGTCAACGACTATTGGGTTTGCGGTCAACCGACACTTGTAGTTCAATTATCTTGTTCTCGAGTCCTTAGGGTATTACCTTAATGTCTAGTGGGAACTTTTGAACGATGTCTGTGAGGATAGCATCAAGCATGTCAAAGGGTCAACCATTAAAGAGATCTTCGAGTCTCTCTTCCCATCTGTCAAGAACAGTAATTCATAACTTCATGAAGTTTACAACAAAAAGAAAAAGTATTTGTCATAAATTAACATGATAAGACTGAGGGCATACTTTAGCTAATAACCTTGAACAAGCAAGCGGCTGAAGGCACCAGAACAAGAAACAAATCCAAATCTTTAGAACAAGAAACAATGGGCACCAGAACAAGCAAGCGGCTGAAGCGGCACCACCAGTTGGGGTTTTGGAGCGGAAAGCTTCACAGCGGTTCCTACCTCTGCTAACTCTCACTCTCAGGCAGACACAACACCTAATATACCACCAAATTACAATAATATCCTTCAAACTTCAAGCTATAAAATAGGAAGGAAGATTATAATGTGTTGAACCTGGCACCTAATTAATTAAATGATCACAAAAATAGTAATTACTAAATAATCCTAATCTGTACATGTTTATATAATATATAATATATAATTAATTACCTGAAAGTTAATAACAATGAAGAACAATGTACTTTCCGCTATAATCTGGTAAAAAACGGAAAATGATTTTTACTGTTTTATAAATGGTAAAAATAATCAGTTGTGTGAAGAAGCAACCTGCAAGTCTCCCAAGCATTTGAATTGTGACACATTGTCCTGAAGATTTTTGCAAATAATATCTCCAAAATTTCCAATCAATGGATTCTCCTTAGGTTTGTTGCTATTTTTGTATATAGAGTTTTGATTGTTTTTCTTCTTTAGTTCCTCGTAATCTTGGACAAGTAAGATTTGATATTCATGATAAGTATCTGGTCCCAAAGGTGAACCAGGGTAAGTTGAGTGACCTATCTACAATAGCAAGAGAAAAAATTGAAATTGAAGTCCATTTAAGAATAAGAAATAAAAGCAGAAAGGATGATGATCAGGTGAAGTTATCAAAAGTTGTGAAATATCTAATATTCGGGATTATTAAAGAAAGAAACTTAAGTGTTTGCTTAGTTGGATGGAATTCTCGTGAGGAGGGCATTCACGTCTTTATCAAAGATATATCAAAGCAAGCATCAATAAGTTCAAATAATTACAATAGCAAGGAAAGATATAATGACAAAATATCACCTATGAGATAGATATGTATATAGTGCACTGCGAAACACATTGAAGTGTGTAAATTGAATGTAACTGCAATGCCCTGAACAAAGATCTCTGAGAATGTCTTGTTGTTTGGTCCACTCCATATTTGAACTTAAATAAGTAGCAGGTATATTTGCTTGTTATTGTATCCAAACACAAGATTTAATGTTCACTATAACAGATAAATGTGAATGTTCATAGGTTAAGGAATCCTCAGACCATTAGCGTGTTTTGGTTCCCATATCAGAAAAAGAATCAAATTTGTCCTAGATAAGAAATAAGCCCTAACAGTGATGAATAGGAAAAGGGTAACCATTTTAAGGAACAATTATTATACTTGGTAGAGAAGAAATAAGGAGCTTTGCTAACCCCTATCGCATCCATTAATATCTGTATCCTCACACAGCCACACAAAGGAACATGGAGCAATCTCAGAAGTCTCACAGGTCTCGTCAATCTAGCCCCTCGCCAAGATGAAATCTGATACTGATAAGAAGAAACGAGGACTCACTGATGATAAGAAACGAGACCCTAGTATTGATAAGAAGAAAGGCGACCTCACCGATGATAAGAAGCAAAACCCTAAGGTTTTTCGAATGTTTCTTGATTTTACAGAACAGGATAAGAACAAGTGTGGTGTGGACTTACAAGTAAGGCTGTAGAGGGGTGAATAGGAGGTTGAGATCGATCCTGAGAGATGAAAGAAGTTTAGCTACCCGGGAACATGCTAAGACCGGAGAAGAACTCTTTTATGAAGTTTAGCATCACGAGCGAACCCGATAATTACCTGATGGAAAACCGAGAAGATGAAGGAAGATGAACTTCATCATCTTCATAAAGAAAGGTCAGAGATAGTTAGAGACAGAGAGGGAGGGCGGCATACAACAACGAAAAACTTCATCATCATCTTCCACTGCCTGGCGGTGTGTGATTCGCGGCGACGACGTGATTAGGGCAAGAGGGAAACAACCATCGAAATTGACCAGAAAGCACCTCCATTCATCATCACCGGCAGATCCATCCTAGTCTCCCTTCTTTCCGTCACTTCTCACAATAGAGAAACAAGAGGGGAGAGTTGATTGTGAAGATGAAGAAAAGAAGCTAGAAAAGAAAGCGGGTTTTCAAAATTTTAGGGTTTCGTTTTCCCCCCGTTATCTTCTCAAGGCACGTTTCACTAAAATTATAAAGCGACACCTACAGAAGACGCACGTTTAAGATCAAGCGCCCTCCGTGTTTTTTATTTTTTTTCTTGAGACACTAATTTAAGGGCGCACAAAAATACGTGTCCACTATCCTTCAAATTTTGGAAGTCTGACATTATTTTTAAGGGCGCCCAAAAATGCGTAACGTGAATCAGCGAGTGTCGTTGTTTGCGCGTCATTAAAGGCTATTTTTCTTGTAGTGGTTATTACAATATAACAACAAAAGGTATGTAATCCCTTCTACTATCTAGATTTCGAAATACCTAGGAGCCTGATAGGGCTCTTCTTGTGTTAATAATGTTGTGTATCTAATGGTGAAAACATAGATCAAAATCTAGGGTTGCATGTACACATATGATTGTTTGCATAAAACCCATCGGCGGTATCAAATTCAGGTTATTTGTTTTCAATTAGAATTACACAATTGACACTTTAGAGTTTATGGCCAATAAACCCTAAGAGGCAAGGATTTCAAAATTAGGGTTCTTGAACCCTGTTTTTCGAAAATTTGATAAGGGTTTTCAAACCCTTTCCTTTATGCCCAAGATTTCGAATTCTAGGTTTTACCAACCCTTGAATTTCGAAATTAGCCTCCTCCCCAAGATAAGATCCTAAATTTTAGGGATTTGGATAATCCCATATCTTCTAATTATCTTTTAATGTCTAAATATGGTAATTAAAGATTTTGAATTACCTCATCCCATATTTTTCGAAATCTAGAGGGATTTAAGGGATTAGGATAAATTAATTCTTTAATTTAAGGTAATCCTTTATGATTTAATAATTCAAATTAATTTTTTAATCAAAATAATTATTAAATCAAGAGTTTTAATATTTAAAAATTTAATTTAAAAGGTCTTAAATTTTGAAAATTTTAAAATTGAAATTGAAACCTTAGTATTTTGAAATGTTTAAAATACACCCTATACTATTATATTATTACAAGATTAATGTGTATATATATATATATATATATATATATATATATACATATATATTTCACGAAGCCGATCTAAAAGGGGGGTATAAGGTTATGGCCTATAAAATGGTCGTTTAATGGGTATCCACTCTTACCCACCGCTTCCTAGATTGGTGGAGGGTCGTTAGACGAATGGGTAGGATAAGGCAATCCTCTCCTCATTAATAAGTATAATGAATCTATATAAAGTAAGTAAACGTTTTATAAAATTCCCATTCTTAGTTACTTTAGGCAAAGTGAATTGATGCAATACCATGAAATTACACTTTGCACCCTTGCTAAGAAGTTAGTGGAGCGTGTGTGGTTAACAGACACACTAATTGGTTCTAAGCAAAGGTGGCCAAGGGTGACTCATGGTTTGTCATAGTTCGATGGAGCATGTGTGGTTAACCATCACATCGAATAGGTGACCGTAACAATGAGGGCACCATGTACATTTTCATCGTTATTCACACCCGCTTTGTGATCCTCGGCATCCCAGTCACAAACTAGAGGGGCATATCGAGATTTAAACATGCCATTGAAAAGTTCAATAAATCTCAAAGGAATCTAGGAATTTTCAATGCATTTAAAACTTGAGCATTTTACGTTTTTCATGATGAAGAATTAGTGAATCGTCATTCATTTACCACCAAATTATTTGCATATTGGATTACGACATCCCTTTTCTAATGTGTAAATAATGTTGTTGGATCCTAGCCCTAATTTCTCATTTTGGGTGTTTAATTAGGGATTCAATTCTAACCAAACTTTTTTCCTTTTTATTTGCAGATATCTAACACAAACGCAAACAACCCTGCTCCTTGTTCATTCTCGCTAATGAGCGTATGTCAAAAAGTGATGATTGATGGATCGAATTTCAATGAATGGATTAGATACATTCGCATGATTGCTCGTTACAAGGACAAAGAATATGTCCTCGACGAGAAGCTTGAAAATATCAATCCAGAAGTCGCTACTCCCGAAGAAATGGTCGTCTTTGAGGCCCACGAGCGTGATGCAATGAAAGTTCATTGCATTATGTTGGCCACTATGAATCTTGAACTCCAAAAGTCCTATGAGGACATGTATCCATATGAAATGCACCAAGATTTTTTGGAGATGTACCACCAAAGTGCAAGGCCAGAGCGCTATGAGATCATCACCAACATGATCAATGCTAAGATCGGGAGTGGAGAGTCCCTAACCTCGCATTTACAAAAGATGCAGAAGTGTGTTGATCGTCTTCACAAGTTAAATGTTATCTTTGGGGAAGATCTGGCTATCGACATCATTCTCCACTCCTTGCCCTCGTGCTACAACCAATTTAGGATGACCTACCATATGAACAAAGAAGAGGTCACTTTAAGAAAACTCCAAGGGCTACTAAGGATTGCTGAGAGCAACCTCAAGGATAAGTCTGTTGCATCAACTCCCACTCCACTCGATGCTCCTGTTTTGGCCATTAGGCAAGGGAGGGGAAAGAAGAGGAAGGCTTCTTCAAAGAGCCACAACAAGGGAAATCCCCAACATGGTACCTCTTCTAGTGGAACCAAAGTTGATTCTGCTAAGCCCAACTCAAACCCAAAGGAGGCAAAGTGCCACCACTGCCACAAAATAGGGCATTGGAAGAGAAGTTGCCCGGAATATCTGTAATCCATCAAGGATGTGAAGATCAAGCCGTATTTTGTAGGTATTTAC